CGATCCCTAAACAACTAGTTTTGGGCCGAAATTTTTTTGAGGTTATCACCTAGGCTGCTAGACACATGAAACTGACCCTAACCAGACTCGGAACCCTAGCGTTTTTTATCTAACCGGCCGGTTCCGATTCTAATCGACTGATTTTTCTAACATTGATCCAGATATTGGCACCAAATCATGTATCTCTCCTTCTTCTAGACGTTGTAAGGAAATCGTACACTTTCATTATCTCCTAAGCAAATCACTAATTTGCTTATTAATAGGGTTGACAATGGACCTGGACCCGACTTGGGACATGTTGGGTATACCCAACATGGTTATGGGTATGGGTTTAATATTTAGACCAAGTGGGTTGGATTTGGGCCAAAACTTGGACCTGAACATTATTCGGGTTTCGGTCCAGTTGAACCTGAGCCATACCCGACCTGTACTTGTAAACTGTTACAGATAAAATATTTCAAGTTGTATTAGTTTGGGTGCATTAAAGATCATATGCAATAAGAACCTGTAGTGATCTTTGACTATTGAACGACAAATCAGATAGCTTGAAATCTAATGGCGGTTGATTGTGACCTTGTTGCCAATAATATGGGTATATGATGGTAAAAAAAGGCAAAAAAAAAAACAACAAACAAACAAAAGCTCATAGTAAAGGTGGCAATGACCTGACTAGACCCGAGACCCGATGGGATAGACATGGGACCCGAGGGGACGAGTCAGATCCGGGACCCGAATACTATTCTAGTATGGGTCTGGATCCAACCGAACTTGACCCATTGCCACTCCAACAAATCACCCTCTTTCTCTCTCTAGATGTTACATATCTACATGCATGCATGGAAGTGTGGATTTATATAGTGGAGAACTGGAGAGTAATACACCATATAGGAATCGGGCTCAGACTTAATTGATATGCTGTTACATCTCAAGTTCGATTCTTATTAAAAGAAAAGTAAAGGAGAAAAATATTAAGGGAAATTGCCGTTACCTCCTAAAAGTAGACTTTCTAGACAACCTCCCACCCACCAAACTTTTTTTATGCAACTTTGACCCCAAAACCAAGTTTTATAGTAAATAAACCTAAAGTAAAAAAGTCATAATTTGTTTGAACAAAAGTACCCTTTTAAAAAGTCATTTTATAAAGGCGGTCCAACACTTTATAAAGGTGGTCCAGCACTTTATAAAGGCGGATTGGCAATATTGATGGTCCAACACTATTTAAAGGCGGTCTGACACTTTTTAAAGGTGGTCCGGTATTTTTTTAAAGGCGGTTTGATACTTTTTTCTCTCGATCTGATACTATGTTCGTGAGTCTGTGGCCCAACATAATTTCTTTTGTACAGGGGAGGGCATTTTCATAAAAAAATATAACTTTTTGATTTTGGAAGTATTTGCTATAAAAGTTCATTTTGGGGGTTAAAATGACGAAAAAAACTTAGTTGGAGGGAGGTGTCTAGAATGTATATCTTGGGCGCTTTTTGTAATTTTCCCAAATTATTTTGCTGATGTGTTGAGAAGCTCTGACTTTTTCACCTTCCTGTACTAGACACCTAAATGCCTATAGATACCAAAACACGTAATGGTATCCCTATGCAATACTGATATGAGCAATTTAATTTGAGTTTTTTATGTTTGTGCGATACGATACAAGCCTCCTTCGAGAAGGAAGATTTTGAAATTTTTTTTTTAAACTTTTTTTTCTTCTTCTCTCTTTTTGGGCAAGATTATATGCTCTAATTGGAGGAGCATATTACAATTTTTTTTAAAATAAGAGCATTTCTATATTTAGAAAAAGGGATTATATACAATAAGATCATTTATCTTTGGTATGGGGAGGTCACAATTACTTACAACTATCCGATGTGAAATCTAATAGCTTGGGTGTGTTACAAAGATTGAAAAAACAAGCGTACAATTTGCTTCTATGGGGACATAACTAGAGGGAGGGTGCACAAAGAGATGCATGTTGTTTTGACATTGTACATTGTACCTGCTTTTGAAACACAATGCAATAATACTAAATAAATTACAAAAAATATACCTTTTTTTTAGATTATTAAAAATGAACTCCAAATTTTCTAAAACCGTATCCATACCCTTTTTCTCCACTGTTTGTATTTTTTTGACGAAAATACCCTTCGTATTAGTCATAGATTTGTGAAGGCATCACAATTGACTCAAACCATGATTGTTGTTGAGGGTTCAAATGCTCTTGGTGTGGGAATTAAGTTATCCCCGTTCCCTTAGGACCATGATGATGAGGCAACATTAGAACCATCACGGTACTTAAATAAATGTGACTATAATAACGGTTCTTTAAGTGTCATGATGCTTCAAAATTGTAGATTGGCTCAAAACGAGTCGAGCAACATGCCTTCACGGAAAGGTATTTTTGTAAAAAAAATACAAACAGTGAAAAAAAAAGAGTATGGATAAGGATTTAAAAAATTTAAGATTTATATCTAATAATCTAAAAAAGTTATATTTTTGATAAGTTTCCTTTATTTTAATGCAAAAAATGTCTTATTAGCTTTTGTAATTAGGATCAATTTCGTAGCATCCATTCCAAACTCTAAATATCAGCATTACTCATTTCCAAATTATTTCCTCCCACCCCCGTAGTCCCCAACTTCACATGGTTAATTATTTTAATATCTTGTAACTGCCCTAATAAAAAAACCCTTCTCCCATTTTAACCATGTCTCTTTCTACCATTTTTATGTCCCAAACCTTTTTATTACTCCTCTACCTACTCCATCTCATGCCCTAAACCCTGGGAATGCAAGACGAATCACGCTTATTTCAAATATAACAAATACTAAATAAAACAATGAACGGAACAAGGGAGCGTTAAAATCGACCGACAAGGGGAAATACATAAGCAATCAACTATTATCTTTTCCGATTTGCCCGTTCTCTAAAATTTCATTATCACCGTTTATCTCCATGTGTTATCAATCCTCCCCATCGTCTGACTTATCAACAGTGTTAGTGATCTCATAACGTACCATTCTTTTATGAGCTATATCATCTTGTATATCAGAATTACCATAATGCCCAATGTTCATATGTAGTTATAACCATTAAGTAACTCATCCGAAGCAGATCTCAATTTAGGGCAACTGTATTGTTGAACTCCCTTTTTCCATGAAATTAAAACTAAATAATGCTACGTGTTTTTAATGGTACATGAAGCTGTTTCTCATCCGGAGCATGCTTCTCTTTTCTCTCTTTCTCCACTTTTTTTATTTTTATTTTTATTTTTATTTTTATTTTTATTTTTATTTTTATGGAGTGTGGCTTAAACAATTTAATGAAGGTGCACCTCTAAATTTTATTTGAAAAAATCCAGAACTTTGTCATAGATTATCGTATAAAAATCTTAGGATTATATGAAAATTTATTTTCATATCTAATTATAAAATTTTAAACTCCAAAAATAGCTAAAATCAAGTAGATCTATAAGCATATAAATATTTTGAAAATGGACAGTCTGGATAATATATTGCAAGATGTACTAATTTTGAGACTCAAAATCTTTTTTTTTACGTTCATACATTAAAGGGTTTTTCAACATTAAAACAACCTTTTCGAGGTGCATCTTTAATTCTACATTTTAAGGTTCAACCTTATATAAACTTTTTTATGCATGTCCCTCTTCTTTCTTTCTTCTCTACTTTCATTTGTTCTTTGCCGGAATTTTCTCTTTCTTCCTTCTTTTATTTTATTTTATGTGTACACCCATCGTTGCATGACCATTTACAATAAAAAAAAAACAAAAATATACAAAGGTTTTGTGTTGTATACTAACTTCAGTTAAAAAAAATAAAATAAATAAATAAAAGAAAAAAAAAAGAAAAAGAAAAAAACAACCCGAATTGAAATCTCTGAAACAACATGTCATGATTGAATAGAGATTGTCCATTTTTTGGAGGGCAAGACTTTTGTGTCAAAATACTCAAAATTCAAATTTTTCTATTTTAAAAAATAATCTAGTAATTCTTAAGTAGTTTCCAAAATCTGCCAAGTAGGGGAGCAATATATACGCGCTATATACTTTATCTCGAGTCCAATATTGAAAATAAGGGATTTGTTTGTACTTTTTTTTTATTTTAGTTTTAAATTATTTTTATGATATTGGCTAATATTATAAAGGGCTTATTTTTTATTTTCCCGTCATTTTTATAAATTTTAAAAATTACTCTTGGGCTCAAATTGATTTTTTAAAATTCATTTTTTCACAGCCTTTCAATATCATTTGGAGGTGTTTTGTTTAATCATTGTTTAATGTTCATTAAATTTGTTTGGATTTATTTATTTCTTTTTTATTATTTGTAACACTTTCTGGACCGGTTGGGACTGCCCAATTGTACTGGTTGAAGTAGGAAGTTTACCGGTTGCTCGGATCAGGCCATTGGCCGGTTTTGTTAGATTTTTCGAAGACTGCTCTAGTTTATCTCTCTCTACTACCCAACTTACCCTCTCTCTCAATCAAAACTTTATCTCGCTTTATCTACTATCTATGTTTCTATCTCTCCCTCTACTACTGTTTTGAACTTACCCTCTCTCTCAATCAAAACATTATCTCGCTTTATCTACTATCCATGTTTCAATCTCTCCCTCTACTAATGTTTTGATTTATAGAAAAAATAAGAAACAATTGCACTTATTTCTATCCAAACTTTATCCACACTTTTATCCAAACTTTACGTAATAATTTTTATTGTACTTATCTCTAAACCAAAATTCACAGAGATAAAGTTAGAGGGATTAAGATTTTTTTGGGAAAAAAAAGATAAAATATAGTTTCTATTTCAAAAACGCGATCATTTGAAAAACTTAATGTGGGTTCTAATCCTCATCAAATACAGGGATAGCAAACTCCTATATATATTCCTATCAAAAGAGCGTATGCTTTCTTAGAGAGTCCCTGTTTACCTGCCTCGACTAAACTCGAGAGACGATTCTGAGAGTCAAGGCATAGGCATGGACTCCAAAGTTTCTTCTCTCACTTACTCGTATAGATATTTTATGAGTAGTTTCACGAGACATGGTAAACAATTCAAAAATAGTAGATTAAAAAATAGTAGTTTCAAGAGGCAAGGCAAACAATTAAAAAATTCTCTCCCTTGGTTGCCACAAGAATTGATATTGAAGATCTTGGAGGAGCTTCCGTTGAAATCTATATGTAAATTCAGAACGGTGTCCAAATCATGGAACCAACTTCTTTCGTCTCCCTCTTTCATCCCCTCTTCTCTTTCATTCCCTAAAACTTTCTTTCTCTTTGAGAACTCCTCTCTCTCATCCCCCAAAACTTTCTTAAATTTCTTTCCCTTTAAGAGAAATTGTGAGGAGGATAGGTTGTTTTATGCTGCTGATATTGAGTACAACAAAGCTTCAATCTGCAAAGAAACAACTTTTCAGCATCGAAGCATAGGTATATCATGTTGCAGTAATGGCCTACTGTGTTTCCTCTCACAACCGGAGAAAACAATTTTCATAGGAAACCCACTGACGCAAAAGGAATTCGTCTCCATTCCAACACCCAACACCCAAGTCGATGACTACACCATGGCATTTTCATTCGATCCTATCAGCCGAAACATCATCATCATCGCATTCGAGTGGAACTTGGTCGACCACAAGAAACATAGCTTGTGGATCTACGATTCGGCCATTCAGAACTGGAGGTCACTGGATGTTGGGCTTCCGATTTATGACCGATCAAGCAGCCACCCCTTTTGTACGTCCCACTGCATTATTGGTACCACTTGGTATGCCTTGTGTCATCAAAGTGTAGTATGTTATGACATGAAGAAAAAAGCTTGGGAGAAGATTGATTCCCCATTAAGCCTTGAGCTTGAGCTTATGGATTTGAATGCTTGGTGGTATTCCCAACTCTTAGAGTGGAATGGTCGACTTTCTTGTGTGATAACAAGTGGAATTGGCCTTGATGGAATTGGAAGTCTCAAGGCAGGGGTTTGGGTCTTTTCCTGGGAAGAGAAGAAGTGGGTGCAGGTTTTGCGAGCAGATCTCAAGGAATGGGGGCTCACTGAAAGGTACCGTCATATTGGCTTCTATGATGATATTTTTTTTCTTGTTGCATATAACAAGTGCGTAACATATGACATGAAGAGTCGGCAGCTGAAGAGATTTGAATCAGATGAATCAGAAGGCTGCTTCTTACCTATGCCATTCCGACCCACCCTATTGAGTTGGAAACCAAACTATCAAATTTCACACCAAATCGCTGAAAAGAGGAATTTTGACTCATTATCAAAGATAAATACTCTCATTTTATACAATCAAGAATAAATGGCTTGGTTTCATTGTATACAATCTTGCTTTTAATTCATATTTTTGGGCAAGCTTCTAATTCATATTTTTGGGTAATTCTTAATGTCAATGATTCTCTCTCTTTATTATATATATATAT